TCTTCCCTGTCTCCCTCAGTATTCTGCCACGATTGACAGAAAACCACCAAACCACGTGAACGCCCCTTCCCGTGCTGCCCGCTCAGAACAAGCGCTGACACCTGTTAAGAGGGCGGAAGCCCCAGGACGCCGCAGCAAGCGTCGGCGGCACGTCCTGGATGGCACCGCGCGGCACGGATCCAGGGATCCTGCTCGCGGTGACTCTGGGACGGATGCGACACGCCGGGGAACTCTAAGCACGCAGCTCCCCGCCATCCCGCAACGTAGTAGCGTCAATTAAGTTTGTCCTGAATTTAGCAATGACAAAAATTGGTCAGACTAAGATTTAGAGAGTGAAAGATCACGCCAACGGGAGAGAAAGGGCTTCCCCAGGCAGCCTCTACCTTTTAGGAAGGTAAGAGTCTGGTAGAACAACGCCCTTCGATTAATCTTTTTCTGTCTGTTCTTCCACCTCCCAGAACAGGTTTATGGGGTCACTGCCCGATCACTGGAAAACAACTCGGCTCCCTGCTGACTTTCTGACCTGCGGAGGTAGCTTAGAAAAGGAATTCAGCATCATATTCTCATGGCTCTGATTTCACTTCCCCACACAGGGCATCATTTCACGCTTCAGAGAGCTTCAGGGTGTCCAGCAGCACCGCTTTTCGAAACTACTCTTGCAAAATCAGGTTTCTCGCTAATATTCAGGAAAAAATCTGAAAAGCAAAGAAATTCCTTGTCCTCCGTCAATAGCCACTGCTCCACGCAAAGACACAGCTCATCTCTTTCCTGCCAAAACAATTGCTTTGTTATTTTTGGTCTCTTTCCCAAATGGGAAAAGTCTTTTCAATGACACACCACTCAAATCGGAGACTATATTCCAGGTATAGTCATGGCACTGCAAGGCAGGGGCAATAAAGAGAGATTAGTATCTACTTCCTTCATGATCTGTAACTCATGTGTCATTTGCTTCTCAAAACAAGCAAGGAGTGTCCGTGATAGGCTTCCCTCTCCCTGAGCGCTCGGTAGTTTGGATCAGTTCCTCTAACCGCTTATAGCAACACAGATTTTTCTGAAACAATTCTTGTTTTCACTTTCTGGTCTTTATAAATAATGTACTGTCTGTCCTTCTTGTAAATTCAACCAGTTCCAAGATGACAAGAGATCGCTATCTGGGGCACATCCTAGCAGCTGGTTCCTGGAGACCCTCTTCTCCAAGGTTTCATTGGAAGCAGATTTATTGCCAGGGCAGGGGTGGGAGGAAGCGGCACTCTAAACACATTTAGGAGGACCGCACCGACGTCATGAAGGATTCAATGACACACAGGCCCCTGAACTCTTCTTCGGAAGATGGGGAGTGGAAATGCATGCGGCACAGTCCTTTGCGAGAGGCGATTCTTGAGCAACCTGCCACGGGGAACGCGCGGTCAGCGCGGCGCTCGGTTGCTGGGCAGAGGCTGGGGAGCCGGGGATGGGACGGGCGCAGAGGTCCGATCGCGGGTCCGATAACACGGCTGCTGGGCATCTGCTGGAAGCCAGGGAAGGTTGGCCTGGACGCCCCAGCACAGGCACACTCCTACCAGGTAACGGGGCTGCTATTTAGCGATGCCAAGTGATCTGCATGGGCAGAGACCTTGAGACCTACCCTCAAGTTCAGAACTGTCTTCTCCCACAAGAGGAGTTCCTCTCGGTTTACCAAAAAACCTGGTGAAGGACAATACCACACAAACGCCTATTTGGTCAGGGTTGCAGCAGCTTGCCTTTTTTTTTTTTTTTTTAAATTTTTCAGCAAGCCTCTCCAAGATAGGTCAGGAATGACAGAATCATTAAATTCTGTTTATTATTGAAACTACGTGATGAGCAGATAAGCTGCAGACAAGGACAACCTCCTGCAGGCTGGATGCTCTCCCACCACCAGCACACATTAACATCCCTCCGTCCTGCTGCAGGGATGCGGATGGCAGGGAACCAGGATCCCAGTCCCGCTGCAGCGCAATCCCCGCTACACCAGAAAGCAGCCACGGAACCAGACGGATCGCAAATCGCTGCCATCTGCAAACAGCAGATGCACCGCTGGGGACACTGAGGTGTTGCGGAGCTCGTCAGGGTGAGTTCAGCTAGCGAAGGCACGCGGCAGTAAACCTCTTCAGCAACGCGATCTAACTGCTGACGAGCAAAAGGAAAGCTCGAATCTCTTGAAGGCACCAAGATGCTTTTGACATGGTTCCTCTGCCCCGTCTCACTAACAACGGAGCGTTCCCAAGTAGGAACAGTCTCCAGAACTAAAACTCCAGCGCCAAGGAAAAAGCACAGCTAGAAAACTGTTCTAGTTGGGGAGGGGGGGAAGAGCGTAATAACGTTTGTCCCAGCAAGTCACACATACCTTCTGCAGTTTTTGCAGCCTATAGCAGATAATTTCCATCATGCAAACTAAACAAAGGCATCACTTCGCTCGCTCTGAAGATGTTCACAGCCCATGTCCCGTGCTGTGGTTTCCCTCCAGTGGCATAAGCAGTAAGCTGCAGGTCTCCCCAGGGAGAGGCCTTCACAGAGTAGACAAGGCTCTGCACTACCTTACCCCCGCGTACCTTTTCACCGTTCGCTGCTCCCAGCCTTCGCTCAGCTCTTGGGCTTCCCCTTCCACTGCTTGCCCAGGCCGAGAGAACGCATCAGGAATTGAAAATGAGCATCCAAAAGCAGGCGCAAGGACCTGCTCGGAAGCAGCTGCGAGCCTTGCCCCACACGGAGAATTGAGATTGCCCCAAAGCCGCCGACATCAAAACGTCGGCATTGGCCTGATCCGCTTTCCCTGAGAGCAGCAGCTTTTTTTTTTTCTTTCTCTTTCTCTTTCTTTTTTAAACTTCTGTCACGCAATAGTTACTGCTATACTTGTTACAAAAGCAAAAGAGAACGAATGACGATCAAGAACACTCAGGGCACAACTTGTGCACAACTTGTTGTGCAACCTCAACAAAAAAACTCTTGACCAAGAAATAAAATCAAGTACATTTCAGGTATGGAGTCGCCTTGTTTTGGGGAAACAAAGCTGTCTTCCACATTTCTGGCAAGATGTAGCTCTTCCATCATTAAACACAACGCAGTCACCGTGCCACAAAACTCGGAGTCCTTTGGAAGGACAAGAGTTTAACACTACTGCCCTTCTTGACCCCATCACTCCAAATCTCTTCCTGTTCATTTTCACAACACGTATATACGTGCATACATACATTTTTCTGTCATTTTTCCCCGCTTACATTTCCAATATCTAGGGCTTTCTCTGCATTATTTATTCTTGTTTTCAGAATCTAAACCACTATCAGTAGTGCACTGAATAGGTATGTGAATAGATAGAAGGTAAAATGCATTCAGATTTAAACATGTCACAATATATGCTAGCCCCAAATTACCTTCATTCCTGTGTAAATCTTCATTACTTCCAATTATTAGTTAACAAAGTATGGAAAGTTCCTGTTTCACTGCCATTGAAGAACACCGCTTTTCTCGTTCTTCGGATAGCCTGACCGCAGTGAACCCCGACTTGCACACACACGTTATTTGACGTTTTAATGCATGAGAGGCACAGTATCACACCTGCTACTAAGTTGTTTCTATGTAAAGTGGATTCCAATCTGAAAAAATAAATTTCTCAGCGAGGACCAATATCCCAGCAACCATGAGAGTTGAAGTGACGCCGGTTTTGAATTCTATAACCGGGAGAAACAAGAACCTTTGAAATTTTTGTTAAAATGCAGCTCACCTTTCAATTTTGAGTTATCAATTATTAACAAAAGACTTTCCAAAATTCCATTGGTATGAAAACCACCTACAGGATGCAGAAAAAAACACCCCCAAAATTATTAAAGAATATATTTTTTCAGAAAATTCTGAAAACATATGCTATATGAAGTGTCTCTGTCATCACAGCAACCCCAAAACAAATTAGCAAGTGAGAATACAATCCTTTGCTCATTTTTGTCAACCAAAATATTCAAGTGTCAAAAATCCCACAGTATAAACCTCTCCATTTACTCCTACCAGAGCCATTGGGATTCAATACCCAATGTTTCTATATCTGGTGTAAAAAAAAAAAAAAATCAAACAAAACCCAATTAAGACAAAAATGGTTTCATTTATAGTTTAATTTACAGCAGCTACTGAAGATTTAAAATTGATACAATTTTTCAGGTTAACCACGTATGTCCACTACTCACAGAGAGTGGAAGTACTAAGGAATTTTTTTTTTTAACCCATCTAACTTGATTTATTTTAAGTTTTTAAAATCAATGAGGTCCTTTTTCTTCTTGGAAAGTAAACATCAGATGACAGAGACAGAATGGAAATATCAGCACTGAGCAGAAAATAAAGCCTCCTTATTGAGCACATTTCCAAAAATCCCAGTACAATGGAATGAACCAGGCTCCAGGGTGCAGAGCAGACACAAAGGAGCGTTTCACTGTTCAACCACTGGAATTTGTTTTTAAAAAAATCATCCCTTCAGTATCATCTTGTCTTCTGTGCTTCTTCTATCGGAGACAGAGCTGCTGCCAAACACCAAACAGTGAACGTGAATCACTTCTTCCAGGAACACCAGGGCAGTGAGGACTGGTAGTCTGGCCTCCTTATTTAGCCAGCTCAGTCCCACTGTAGGACTACTGCTAGGGTTTTCCCAGGATTTGGTATTACCTGAAGGACCCATGAATGACAGCCACCTCCAGGATATAAAATTTCAGCCTAAGAGTGGCCACAGCAGAATTTACAGGCGGATTTAAAAAAGAAATTAACCTTCTTAGTTCCAACAGAGGACAACGTTCTGCTTCGTCTCCTGCCAGTGGTGAAGGAGAGACCTTTCAGACTTGATCACCTTTGTAGGAAGAAACGATACGTGTTGGTGCACAGCACGTAATCCAGAGCCAAGGATCAAAGATATTTAAATGATCCTTCATCCTGCTTCCGTTCAGGTTGAGAGCCAGAGTGCAGCGATTTCTTTCTGCCGACAGGAAGTACTTGCCCTGTCAGTGAGATTATGACCAGAAGAAAACTTGGATTAATCGCTGCTTCTTCACATCACTGTGGCACTCTGGGCACTTCTTCTTCATCTGTATAAATAAATGAACAAAATACATAAATAATACATTAAATTTCTCTGTCAAGTTTGTTATTTTCCAATATGAACTATAAGCCATGCTAGTCATTTGGCAGTCCCCAAGATATCTTATCTACTGTTTTTAAATGCAGTGTTACCATGCAGTCAATTATTTAACTGCCAGTAATAGGAGGAGGAAAAAGAAAGCCTCCCAGTGAAGTAGCAACAAACTCTACAGCAGTTGTCTTATTAATTACAGCTATGACACAGCTGAAGACTAAAATACAGGAACGAGGAAATACAGAGGCTGCAAGAGCTGTTGTGCAGTAGAGATGTCATTAGTAAAATCCTGTAAGATGGCTGAAGGGTTCCCTGAACTCCTGCTTCCTCTTGCACAGATGAGAAGGAAATGATCTCCTGGGCATACCGGGACATCGGTGATACACGCGGTCATGACCAAGAGTTTTGCAGGGGAACCGAGTACACGTATTTCTTCACACCACCACACACCCCTCTCAGTTAACAGCAGAAAACTGGGTACGAGGCAACCAATTCTCCACCACCCAGGTTTCAGTTTGCTTCTTCACCAAGCTTAAATTTTAATCTTTTAACTTAAATTACTTTAGCCATTTGGTCTTTAGCCATTTGACCTGCAGATGAACCCCAACTGTTCTTTTTATATCTTGCAGATTACTAGTAAAACTAAAATGCTCTGCTTATTTCAAAAGGAGATAGTAAAAAAATTTTTTTAAAATTAATCTTTGTCAGCAAATTGCCAGCTCAGAAGGCTAAAATGATGGTTACCTATGTCAGTGGCACTGTGCAGGCTTCCCTACAATATGGAAGTTAATCATTGTAACAAAAGATGATTCTATGTAGACCGCAACATAGGTTCGGGCACTAGTATTTTGATTCTAGAAACATTAATTGAAACACCATAAAGGGAGGGGGAGAGGAAAACTCACTTTACCTCCCAGTAGACAGTGATTTGCCAAAGAGCTCTGAAAATTTTAAATGTAATATATAATTGTGAAATCTTATATTATTTGCCCATATTACAGATAGTCCAAATGAGAATAACTCAGTCTCTCTGGAATACCTGCAAAAAGAGCATGAATAAATGATGCATTTGAACACTGAAAAGTGGCAATAAACCCCTGCACAGAAAACTAAAACCAAAACCAGCATATATTGGCACAGCCTCTGTATGGCTTCCCCTAACACACTGAAAATCACCCAACTGGCACTAATCTGTCTAATACTCCTCCAGCTGCAGGAATTTCTGTCTGCTCCTCTAAAAGTTTCCAAAATATTCCAAAGTTATTCACCACCTCTCCCCCCCACTAAGCTATTTCAGTAAAATAACAAATTGGAAAAAGACATCACAATTTGCAAAACCCAAGTCATTGCATTTTGAATGATAAGCTGTTAGTCATTTCCTCATAGTACAATATGCACCAAAGTGCTTTTCAGCTGAAGAAACATAATGAGTAACTTGTTAGCAAATTAAAAAAGATGAGTTTTCAAATCCAGCCCAGTCAGTGGTGACAGAGCCCGATGCCATCTGATGACAGTTCAGACACAACACACACAGTTGCTCATTTCCTGCTGGTAAGGGTACTTCTATCGCAAACACAACCCTTGCCATGAACGGAGTCAATTGTCCATACAATGAACCAACACACGTGTAGGAATGCGGAGGAGATAGTTCCCCTCCTGTTTGCAATCCTTTGCTCTCAACCAAGCTGTTCTTCCTTCTCACCTGCATGACTAGCAGAGAACAGTTTTGCGTCATCACTGGGAGAAGTGTCTCTCTCCATCAGTCCTCAAGTAATATCCCAAATTACAAGATGTTTGACTTTTCATTAACCAGACTACACTTGAATTGTATCATAAGCAAGCTAACATTACTGTATACTGAGAACCATTCATCACTAGAAAGGTATGCCATAAGTAAGTTAGGTATGCCATAAGTAAGGTAAGAAAAGGTGATGAGACCATGTAGTTTCACATTCTCCATAACAAAGACTACAGAATATCAGGGATGCTTGAACAGTAAAGCTGGTGAGATGCTGCTTCTTACATCCCCCACACCCAATAGTTTGTTGTTCAGAGCAAGAAAAAAACCCATTCTTAGAAATAAGGACTTTGATGTATGTTGTCTATGGAGGAGGCAAATGGATCACACTGTTGGCATATGTAGAAAGACTCCAAAGGTGCACTTAAGAAGGACAGGATATCCATGATGTGTGTTCTTGAGAACTGGAAAAATCTTCCGTTTGTCCTTTTTAAACAAGCAGGGCATTAAAATGAACTAGCAAGAAGCAGGTTCAAAATGACAACAACAAAAAAGAGATGGTTCTTCACGTAGCGTTTGGCTAAGGTGTGGAAGTGCTTGCTATAGGACATGCATGACAAGTTCATTTGCGTTCAAAGTGAATTGGATGATGTGATGGAAATGCATCAGCAGTTTCTTAATATACAGAAGCAACCTTTGGCTCAGGGAGTTCTTGTGCTGCAAATAGCGTTGGGGCTGAGAGATTACCTGCAAGAATCATCACTTATGCCTGCCATGTTCTTTTATCCTTTCCTAGCTATCCTTTTTTGGCCACTGTCAGAGACAGAATGCTGGGCTGGATGGACATTTACCCTGACTCAGTATGTCTGCTATTATATTCTGATTATTTGCTTCAAACAGTATCTGTCTTTCCTGATCTTTACACATTATAAGACTGTATTCACCTCACGGGGCTGTAGTATGCTACCACAAAGCAAAGCTCTGATTCACCTTGTTAAGAAAAACACCCATATTTTCTTTCCCCTGTCATCACCTCATACAACGTGGGATGAAGTTTCACTGTAACTAGTAGCAAGATTATTCAAGTAAGTGGCAGATATGGAAGTCATTAATAACAAATGACCCAGGGGGAATGACTCACTTTCTAAAATGTGGCTTTGTATTGGATATCTGAATAGAACAGAAAGAATACTTCTAGTTGGAAGGGACCTACAAAGACCATCTACTCCAACTGCCTGACCACTTCAGGGCTGAACAAAAGTTAAAGCATATTATTAAGGGCATTGACAACCTCTCTAGGAAGCCTGTTCCAGTGTTTGACCACCCTCTCGGTAAAGAAATGTTTCCTAATATCTAGTGTGAACCTCCCCGACACAGCTTTGAATTGCTCCCATGTGTCCTGCCACTGAATACCAGGGAGAAGAGATCAGCACCTTCCTCTCCACATCCCGTCCTCAGGAAGCTGTGGAGAGGAATGAGGTTTCCCCTCAGCCTCCTTTCTCCAAACCAGATTAACCCAAAGTCCTCAGCTGCTCCTCACAGGACATTCCTTCCAGCCCTGCAACCAGCTTTGTTGGCCTCCTCCGGATGCATTCAAGTACCCAAATCTGAAATACAGTCTAATCTAGTAGACCAGACTACTTTAATCCCCAGTCTAACAGATGTGCAATCAGAAAAAGGAGTGATTAAAAAAAAAACAACAATGAGGCTGAGCAAATTCTGTGCTTTATCTACGAGCTATGAAAATGCATATTAACTTGGGGACTAAGGAGAAAACCAAACCTCAGAATTACCAATTTCAAGACAAAAACCACAGAACAGGGCAGCACAATTGATCACTATACAACAGCTCAAATTTTGTGGATTCTTAAGCTTATGAAACAACAATTACAAGTTACATCTTACTCACAAAAGGAGAGAGTTTTTCCCCAGACATTGTAAGATAAAAATTTATGGTCTGAGCTAATTTACATGTGGGACAACAGATGTTTGCCTAACCAGAAAAACTCCCCTGGGAGCTCATTGTGTTCCCTAACCAACTCAAATCTCAAGCAGCAGAGATTAGACATGCATGCCAGTAATATTCTTGTCATGACTTTCCTAGAGTCTCTCTTCTGAGGTGGACTATGCTGTCAGATGTTCATTCCCATTATACTTGGGCATAAAAGGAACAACTGAGTATTCGGTGGTAATGCCTATTCAAGGCAATTGGTCTGACCGCCCAATCTGCAGCAACCATGAGGTGCCTGCCTTTGGCGTTCTTGTACTTTCTTACATACATTCCTTATAATCCAATACTTTTGGATTTTAACATTTTTAAAGAAATATGTCATAGCAGACTGAGGATGAAAATTAGTTGAACAGCTATTCTGAATTCTCTCTAGGAGATATATGTCCGAGAACATCACTCTGGACGTTATTCTATATTCCTCTTGGACCAAGTCTGTCTTGGTCATTATATTTTATTTGGATGTAAGTATACTGTTTCTTTTCTATGCTTAACTGACATAATTCAGTGTCTTTTTCCTGAGAAAAAGATCTTTCTCTGGAACTTGGAATGACTGAATATTTTGTACTTGCTTATAGATTCACAGGTTGAAGAAATTTCTTTTCCTTCTGTACTGTTTTCAGGTAGGTTCCTGAGCTCTATTGATTAGAAGCCTTCCTCATCACCTATGAATGTTTAGAAACCAAAACCACTCAACTCTTGTATTAAAATTCCCTGCCCAGGGTCACAGATTATTAATACCTGGCTGCCAAATCAAATGTTGGGTAAGATGTTACCAAACACATGCACCATGGGATCAGTTACATCCTCTTACCTAAAGAATTTCAACCACCAATTTACTCAGCCAGGAAAACCACAGGACAGGATAACAGGAGATATTTCAGCATGAATTTGCCTCATCTCATGATAGTGCTTTAGAGTAGGTTTTTAGATGGGGAAAATTATGAAACTAAGCAACAAAAAAGCCCCTAAAATAAAGGTTCAGGTGTAGGAGGAAAAAAAGGTTTTAATGTTTTTTTCAAGTTGACTCCACAGCTTCTTGCCTGCATAGCTCTAGATGGGAAAACATTTGGAGGAAGCTCAGAAGATGCTGCAAAGGTGTAACAAAGACAGCATAAGGCAGAGGTCTGCCTCCAATCACATTACAGAACATGGAAAGTAATGAAACAAGTGCTAAATCTTCCATCAGGATTTAGGTGTTCTCTCTGTAAACAAAGGAATTCTGTTTCCAGGGCTGTCCACATGGTTCTCCTGAAAAGCACAAAATCACCAGCAGTTTCAGGAAAAACTGAAAACAGTAAACAAGATAACCTTTAAGAACTGCTCCCAGCATGTTTTGCAGCAAGTGAAGTCACATAATGGACATTTAAAAGGCACATCATCCTCAGACTTGCAGTTAGAGCACTGGAATCTTCCTAGAACAGAGAGAGAGGGGCAGGGAGAGAGGAAGAGAGTGAAAGAGAGGGAGGAAATAACTAAATTCCAGTATTCACCTGTGAAATTCTCATGCATACATGTTTCCAGTGCAGTCCAGAAAATAATGGCCATGAGCTTTCTGAACTACGTTAATAGTGCAATATGTGGCCTTGTTACATTATTTCTTTCACATGATCTCACTCAGTCTTTCGGTGCTTCAGATCCCCATTTAGAAACTGAGGTCACATCCCTGCTTCACAAGGAAGTTGTCGAGAAAAATTCGTAAGTTCTCAGGAAACTATTACATCACTGCAATAAAGACAATGAAGTACTTTGAGAGGACATATGCAAGTGGCAGAAAGTACCAATGCTACTTAGCAAGCGGCACTAATCATTATTGCACCTGAGCAAATATCGGCACGAACAAGTCATTTAATAGATCATGGGTATAGTTCTTATTTCTGTAACTTATCTTTATTCCCAAGCGTTAGAGAATTGCACCAAAATCTCACCTATACCTACCACACTCTGGCTCCATCTCTAGTGGAAAGATAGGCACAGCTCCAGAGCCTGTGGGTGCTCTCACGTTACTGGTTTCTCTTGATACTTTGGTCATCGGCAATTCAAGTTTGCTTTTCTCATTAAAGCAGAAGGAGGAAATCTTTCTCTGAATTTTCTCTGGGGCCTCACCCTTAGAAACGGCTGCACCTGGTTATCAAAAGGACAGCATAGAAAACAGTAGAATGCAGAACACAATACACAGACTCTGCAAAGCACAATCAGCAGCAGTAAGTTCTCATTGTATAAGAACAACAAAACAATTTGCATGACTATTTTTTTATGCCATACTGCGTGGTAACAGAAGTTTCTGATACTGACACACATAATTACTGAAGGGGACCCTTTATATTGCAATAGTTCTGTGGCAAATGCTTCCTAGACACAGTGGATCTTGATCCACTCCTGCCCCCACCCCACTTAGATGCAAAAATGCTCCCTTCACCCATAACCCAGTTAACAGTTTAAAGAAGACGGCATGACAATTTTCTTCATGTTTCCTTGCACTTCCCCATCTCACATTGTCTTCTATCTTACACTTTTTTAAACTCAGTTTTGATATGGCTTTGATCATCTTTTACACACCTAGTGCAGGGAGGCCACAGCCCGCAGCAAAGGCTGTTGGACACTACCCATCATAATAATAAATAAGATTCTAAACTTCAGACAAATGTTCACTCCCAACCTTGTACGTGGCTGTTTTCTCCTTTAGTGCACCAGCTCTCCAAACTCAGAGGGCTCCCTTCACCTTGCACTTGCTGTTGCAATTCCTTCTCTCCCTCGCCACAGACCATTCCTGTCAAATCTTTACACATCCGTTTGAACTGCTCTTTGTGATGAGGGCGCACAAATATGTAAAACCCTGTCCAAAAGAATATACAGTCAAATACATAGGAAAATAAATGCCCGACCATGGAAGACTCCTTACTTTGGAGGAATGAAATTCTTTGGAAGCTGAACAATATCAGCCATGTTCCCCAGAGTATCTTCAGGTTGGCGGAACACTCGATGCTTTTGTTGATTTTTATAATGACAGGGTTTTTCTTGCCAGAAGACTGGTGAGTATCTAGTACTGAAAATAATCTCAACTTACCTCAAAATTCTTGTGTTCTCTACAGCTAAGCATAAATACCTGATCCAGCCCTTTATATAAATACCTGATCCAGGGAAAACAGGTATATACACGATACCTGAAAAGACTTTCTCAAAAAGGACATCTCTTGTTACTGTTTGGTTGACAAGGATTCACAATACATACAGAAATTCTAAAGAACCCCAATCATGACTTACTGCCAAACACACAATTCTACCGCAAAGTCCTCTGAGGTCAAAACATTTGCTCAGTAAAGATACTGACTCTCTGTAAGAAAGAATGCTCAGAGGGAGATTATGAGTCACAGTGCCACACAGTTCGTTCTCCTCCCACTCTTCACTGTGTCACGACTAATCTGACTAGTTAGCACACCAGAAAAAAAAAAATTCAAAAAATCTGGCGACTACAACATCTATTCAAGGTCAATGGAACACTTATTGTTATTTCCTAAAGAAAACAAACAAAGCTACATCAGCATTTCCCAGCATACACTGTATGCATCATTTCCTGCAGAGGAGTTCACACCAGAGACATGGGAGAAGGTGGAACTGAGGTGTTTCATAGCACAAGACAAAAGATCTCCATCAAGGCAATCAAGACCAGCATATAATCCCTTTTCTTCTTTTTTTTTTTCCTTTTTTCTTTTTTTTTAAACAATAAAGCCCAATTTCAAATTTTGAAAACTTGTAGCTTCCTAAACCCTTTCATCATTAAACCCATGAAAGGAAAAAACCCAAACCAAACCACTTTCTAGGAGATTATTATGAATGATAAGGTTACTAAGTTATGACACAGTTCCATAACTATTCCCAGGTAAATCTCTGTAGAATGGTGAATCAAAAGTGTGATTGCTTATCCCAAAACCTGGAAATGATCCAAGAGCTTAGCACCAGTATAGCAATCAATGGTCATAAGAACAAAATTGAATAAGTGCAATAGTCAGCACTGTCTTTTCTAAAGAGCAATCTCTTGTAGTAATTGAGGAGAAGAAAAGGTAATTAAATCATTTGACTGAAGTTAGCTTGACTGAAGGTTAGGACTGGAATTACTGAGGTCTTATCGAATGTCTTTAATGGACAATTTCTAACCGAACAGAGATACATTTTATAAACTTGACATTTTTTTCTCTCTGACTGACATTCATTTAACATATCTTTCCTGCTGCTCCATTTATCTGGCTTGCTAAACCAAAATATGGGAGAGATGAAGTTTACCAATGCTAAAAGTTTTTTGTAGAAGTGGAGAATTTGCAAACTAATGACCAGTGAAAGGCTATTGCTCACATAAGATCACAGCACCTACCTCTTCAACTAAATAAAAGTGATTTAAAAAAAAAAAAACCCCAAACAACGCTTACTTTGTAGGAGATGAAAGTCTTCCGGCCTCTCAGTTGTGAGGGCTGCTATCACTGATATCATAGCATCATAGTCATCTGTCTTCTTGTAAGCTAACAATGCTTCATAGAAGCGGCTGTAAGTGCTTTTGTTCAAAGCCCTTTTCACATCGTTGAGATAGGTAGCCCTGAGGACCTGGTGGTGATCTCTCCTAGAGCTTGAAGCTTTTTCAGTGTCTTTCCTTGGAGCTCGGCTGGCATTCTGCCCTGAGGGACAAAGAACACACATGAGCAGGGCTTGGAGGAGAACAAACAGGTCACTTCTTTGTATCGACGACTCTTTCCAGAAGGGGGTTCCTGGACTACTTCAAAGCCAACGCCGCCTGCATGGCCACACACCTCCCTCTGGCATGGCCTTGGGCAGAGCCAAGACCTGCTCCTGGAAATGGCAACCGAGCAAATTAATTCTGGGGATCACTTTTAGCATCTTCTGGAGTTTTTTGATCTTTTAAATGGAGAAATGTGTCAGATGGTCACTAGGGAATGAGAAAAAGGTGACACAGAAGACACTGTGCATGGAGGTCAGCAATAAATCAGGTTTTGAGCTACACTGAAGTAGCAGCAGCATTTTAAACAGATGGCTTAACCAACTATGCTGGCCTGACACATGGGCAAGCAAACTGTTGAGAGCAATTTTAAAGAATGGATTTCTCGCCCCTTTTATTAATAAGGAGAAAAGGCCCGTGTGTGTGTCTGTGTTTCCCAACACGAAAACATAATGTCAAAAAAGAATAACTAACCTGAAATAACACACAAGATAGCACAAGAGCAATGTAGGAGTACAACAGAAGGTAGGAGCAGCTATGAACATCCTGCTAAACTCCAAGTGGACTTCTGTTCAAAGTATCAGTCTTTGATTTCTGATACGCTTTAGAGGAAAAAGTTCTGTTTTGCATATTACAGGCATGCAAATATGGATGAAATATGATAAGAAAATGATTTACACATCTTTTGGTACTTAGATCTTTATTCCCCACTAAAGAACTTTTAAAGAAGTTAAAGAAGATAATGAAGTTTTAAAAGATGGGCTTAGTTCCATTTCCTGAAAGGGGAAAAACATAGGTGTAAATTTTATAATCTGTATCTTTTATTGCACATCATACAGCTTTCTGACACTTTCACAGGAGCATACTCTACTTAAGGAGCGAGCAACAGAAATAATACATGCATTTGCTGCTATTATTTTCTCAATTACTTTTAGTGGAAACAAGTTTCTATGAAAATCAATCTCATGGACCTCAGGACAAAATAATTACCAAAGACTCTATTTTGTTTTTAAAATACAAAACAAAACAGGAAAACAAATCAAAAGAAACAACGTGGCTTCATACATAAAAAGCTTTTAAAGCCTTCCAGGAAACACCGGCTTTTTGTTTATGTATTTTTTTTAAAAAGAAAGGATTAGTCTTGGACTATTCTTTACCCTCTAAAGACAGACATCTAAGCTGTCCAACTATCCTACTCATTTCCTTGTGAGAAATACAAAAAAATTCCCAGCTGTTCTCAGGAAGATCTGTAATCAAATTTTAACTGAGCCTTTGACTCCAAAGATAAATACTGGACAGTATGAGATTAGAGGGATGCATACAGAGATTATGTACAATTGTGAGAATACATTTGCTAATCTCTGTTTCTGCAGAAAAACCCCAGACTGTCCATATGAGGAGCATGCACATTACCAATAACAAAACACGGTTTTCTTCTTCATACCTGTACTCATACTGACCTCATCTACAATTACATTCCTTAAAAGGCTCTCTCTCATGAACCCTGGACAAACAGAAAGCCTAGCAGTCCTGTGCTCAATCAGCTGTCCCCTCACTGACATATGCCAGGGCAGTCTCCAGTGCAAACTTCTGGCTTTAGTTGGTTTCTTTCATATCCACTTTGATTTAATTTATTGGCTTTTGTGTTTTGTTTTGTACAATCGTTGCTGAAAATTCCGAATTACCATCACTCCTACCTACAGATAGTGAGCCACTGTGCTAGGTGAACACAAAAAACATTGGTTCCCACCAGGAGAATCTACAGTCAGTGACGAAATGAAATGTAACATGTATTACCTCGGGACTGCATTTTTATTTAACATGAAGTGTTACCTGCACTATTCAGTCCTGCTGTCAAGTGGAATCCTCCCCGGTTCAAGTGGAGCCCAGGGTTTAGCTGAGGGCATGAGTCCTTTGAGAATGCTGCTTTCTGCTGACTCTGTTTTTCTTCTGTTAAATCAAACCAGATCATTAACAGTGAACTTAGGGAAGAATTAACATAGAACGGTGCATTTTAGGGTATGCCATTCTATGCTGAAAACACCTGAAGACGAAGATGTATTTCTGTGATAAGAAGGGATGAGCTAACACCCTGCTTTTTTTAGGACTTCATTGTTCCAGAGTTTCAAGGATTTCACAAACTCTGTGAGGACACGATTACCCCCTATACACTGTTCTGGTGGCACTACGTAGGTAGCAAAGACGACAGAGGAATACACACAAAGTTTTTAAATCCACAGACTAGATTCAAGATCTATTTAGATCTGTAAAACCCCCTTTTGAAATAAAACAGCACCATTACTAGCTACGCAGTAACTAATGCTCTGGCATCCGTGTGTGCTTATGGGAAGGCAGGCAAGAGGATCATGCAGAGCAGAAACTTAGCTCAATATTGGCTAAACTAAATTGCTTTCCACCCTTACATTTCTACATACTGATGTGTCTTGCTCTACAATTGGACAATGTCCGTCAAACGATGCAACTGCCTGCACAGTGCTGAAACAAGCTCCTCACCTATTTTCTTGGCCAGTATCTCCCTCTCTTCCCGCAGGAGGCTGTGCTCAGGTTTGTAGCCACAGCCCACTCCAGTCAGATTGCAACATGCTTCATCAAACTGTTTTTTATGTTGAGGTCGAACAAACTGGTAGAATTCTTTCATTTGGGGAGGGGGAGGAAAGAACAACAACAAAAAAAGATAAATCAGTCCACAACAGGTAATAAATGCCACAGAAACATACAATGGCAGGACTTCTAGGTTAGGTAATATGAAGATAAAAAGTGCTGCTAAATAACTTAAAATCTAAATGTCGTCATCTAGTATTTATACAGTAAGCACACTCATACGTTAAACAAAGGTCAGCTATCATGCAAACTTCCAGCAATATTATTACCAGTAGGTAATAACTGTAATTTTTGCACTGTAAATATGAAGTAGCTTACCTCACGGTGAAACAGGTACTTGCAGCAAAAGGTCATAAACTGTGGGGTCAAAGTATCTGCCAGGCTGATACTTTGAATAACTGATTGTGACGGAGGCACCTGACCCCTTAACCAAAGTAGCGGTAGTTTGGTACAGGCTCCAAAGGAGGCAAAGGCCTGAGCCGTGGCGGGGCCAAGAGCTCCTCTAGTTTCAGTCTGTTCTCTGAAAACCCACGAAGGAGCAGAGTGACACAGTGAGCATCGATGCAGATGAGCTTGGAACACTGATCATGCAATTAGCACACGAATAGTGGGTGGCTTTTCCAAGACTCGTTTATCAAGGAACAAAGGAAGTTGTGGGTACAAGGAGCCTCATGCATACCTTTACTATTGCATGTAATTTGAATACAAACCAACCACTTTATTCCATAAACACGACAGCCCACGTGAGCCTTCTCTAGCTCTCCCTGCTAGGCAGCGTGGCTGCACGGCACCGATCTCCCCTTGAGCTGGGTCGCCTCTCAAGTTTGCTCCTCGAGGCAGAGACACCTTTTACCAACAACCTTTGGGAAGCGACCAGTATCACGCACAACCGTGTAGTATGGTAACTTGGACTTGGTAACTTCGATTGCATGCTGAATTGATACTAACGAAACGTTACAAAAATAATCCCTTAGACATAAACCATTGACCAAGTCTGAGTCTAGGTTTGGACCTAGCCACACCTCCTCTCTGAGGAGGAGTTTAGAAAGCCAGGGGGTCCACTCTGAACCTCGCAACTCAACTGGAGGGTCCTCCTTACCCTTTAAGTCCCTGGTTTCTCTGTGAATCATTCTAGCTCAAGTGTAACTCAATTCTCCTTTGTACATTTCTTCCATGCAGTAATTAATAGAGCGAACCCTGCCATCAAACTTTGTTAAGTCACACTTTTACAACATCATATTAAAACCACTTTTGCTAATACCTTTGACAGTGACTCCTTAAGCGATCTGAATCGCTCCTTTGCAACACTGATATACTGTTAATTTTACACCCCAAATGACTGACTGACCATAAAATGCTCGCCAACCAAAAGCCTAAACGTCAAATGAACTTTAGGTTTCAGGTGCCCGTCACTTTTGAAAACTAGACTTAGGCCTTAACTTGGCGATCAAGTATTTTCTTATTTATATAGTAAGATCAGCAAATTGGGAAACAGGCTGTGGCTACTATTAGTACTAAGTGCTCATACTGAGCTTCCCATTCCTTAACCTTAAAATTAACCTTAAACAATTTACAAGATGTGTAACTATGCTTTTTTATTTTAGTAGATGAAAGAAGTCAGAGAAAAATCTGCCCATTTGCTCACAAGCTGGGAAAGGAAAATTCAGAGAAAACACTTAAACTAGAAGAAATGTTGGTGGGAGTCCACTTCCCATCAATGCAGTTGTTAAAGGTCAAGAAAACACCAGCTAAACCAGTAAACTATCCATGCTTGCCCAGATCACTTGCTTTATACTCACCATTATTTAAACAGAAAATTTCTCTAGATATGCTACTTATTTATTGCTTTAACACTGAACACTGAGTTGCATATATCCAACTCACACAACCACACTCTTGATTCACAGGGAGTAAGCTATACTACTTTTAGACAAAGTTTAAAATAACACAAGCTTCCACGGAATGTGATTTTTTTTCAGGCCTGTCAAGATGCAAACTAACGTATGATAATTAGATTGAGAACATTTTCTGTGTGATCTGGGCATATAAAGTGATGAATGTTACTGATTATCATCCTGATTGATCTGTACCTCAAATCCAAAACACTTACCATTGAAATACCCAAGTCTATTTAAAAGACAAAGGTCACGTCATATAAAATACCAGGGAAGTTGTCATACCTCGTAACAAGATATGCTTTTTTTCATCCTCTATAAAGAGGGAGCTCATTTGAGATAACATAGCATGGAAGTCATCTGTCTTCTTGTAGTGCTGAAGAGCCTTAGAGAAGAGATCATAGTTCTGTTGGCTTAGGGTCTCCTTCACTGTTGCGATGTACAACGTAGCTCGGATCTTCTTCGGCTCCGTCAGGTCTGCTTTCTTGACAGCTTGCTGCAGAAACAGGAAGGCTTTTCAGTAAATAGTGTGACTTGAGGAGCTACTCTCACATGAATTCAGATGGAAGCAATATATTTACAATTCCAACAGCACATAGAACAATGAATGCTTTCAACTAACAGGTTACTGTCTCTTGCAATTATGGTAGTCACCCCCGTATCCATGTGTTATTTCCTGAAAAAACAAACCAGCTTCAGTGCCAGAGAATAAACACAAATCTAACTGGCCCACCTCCTGGAAATGTCCAATTAACTGAAAGACATAAATCCCCGAAGCAGGAGATACAAAGAATGGAAGGTGTTCAAGCATTTTGGTTCCTCTAAGACCTTTCCTGAAGACACTACACACATGAGCAACCCAGATGACTCTCTCGTGTTGGGAAACATTCTTCCACAATCACAAGCAGCAGGGACTTGAAAAAGATTCAGAACAACCCCTCCTTTATGAATGTGACTGTGCATTACAATATGCTTACACACTTTGAACATATAAGCTGTTGGATCCTTGTTCTTTGTCATGCAGAGATGTGACAAGTGTCACCGGGGCAATGCCGAGGCACAAGTATATTGTCAATTTCCCCAGATGATTATTATATCTATTTCTGAAACATTAATCCCTCTAACATCTGTGAGCGTTCATTCCCTCACAGAAGAGGAGCGATGCTATTCCCCTTCTCTGCTGGCAAAACCGACTGCATCAGGAGGAATATTCCTAGAGAAGGCAGCCAAGTCTCATTACACAATCCTATTCTTAGGAGAAGGCTTAATAAGAAGCAAAATTACATTTATTCCAAACCTCAAGGGCTACGCTGACTCATCATGACATCAGATAGCAACAAACTGCAAACACAACCTTCTGCAATGAACCTCCCTTCCTCACACCTTGGATGTTATTGGCTTCAGGATCTGTGACTACTTTTATCAGTTTTGCTTGCTAGGTGACTGGGAGTCTGACAGACAGACAGCACCCAGTTAGGACACTTCCTTGGACACACACTACTGGCACACACAATCACCCAGGGGATTCTCATGAATTTATCATGACTCTTAAGGAACTAGCTGCATAAGGAGTTAACTGAGTTTGGAGACAGTGTAGAACAGTAATGCACAACTGCAAGCATAACAGAACAATGACCCACCACAGGTGGGGTTACGATGCGATTGCTTACCCAAAACTGGTCAGTTATACCATTTGAGGCCCTACCAGCAGTTGGACTAGATGACCATTATAGGCCCTTTCCAACTGAACTATTCTTTTCTAATCAAAAAGAATGAAACCACCCACACCTGGTCAATGAGAGAAGATGTTCACAAGGAGCCAATGCCAGAAAACAATTCTTTTCACCTACCAGCCCTACTTGGACCTGTGCTTGATTGGGTCTGTGATGTCCAGATTTGAGAAAGGGCATGACAGAAACAGGTTACAGATGTGCATTGATGAATATTTACAATTTGGAGAAAAAACATAATTGTTCTTTCATCAGGCATCTGTCTGCCTGGAAATTTCCAATTCAAATTAAAGCAGTCTGCAGATCAAAAGGATGGCACAGACACACAAAAACACATACTGTATTGCTGACTAGCTTTATTTTCTTCCTTCCTCCTTTCTGCTCATCTGTTAACCTCTTCTCATACTGAAGGGAAAGTGTTGACAGACGTTGTGCCTGTGAAGATTAAAAGAAAAGAAGAAAGGTCCAAAAAAATGCTTCTCAAAGTTATTGTCCATTTAATTTAGCCATTTCCAGCAGTAAAAGCTTGTTAAACCAGTCTGTGGACACCATTCAAGAAAGCAAAACAAGTCAAATTATTGCAACAGAGCCTGGGACACATACCTGTTTCTAGAAGGTAATCACTTACTGGACAATTCAGAAAGAGAAACCGAACAGAGGAAATTAAAGACAAAGTTGGTCTCGAGGGTGCAAATTCCTGATTAAGCAAAGCCAGACTCACAGCTAACCATTTCAGGGTAGCCCTGGGAGTGTACGCATACCCGTGTGTAACCGAGGCCTCGCATGCCCCTTCACTTTCCTGCCTGAAGTACTTCTGAAGAAGACCTACAGAAGGGATCTTCTTGGGGTACTGAGAAGGGAAGCCCAAGCAGTCTTGCAGAAAATATCAGGGCAGACAGGATGAGACAGTAGCAGAAACACTTGCGGTTTGACAAGCTCTTTAGCATCTCCCATTCCCAGTAACAAAGAATTGCACTTGTACTGCAGTGACTGGGAATACTGGTACACACAAAGCTCCAAAAGAGAATCATAGAATCGTTTAGGTTGGAAAAGACCTTTAAGATCATCCAGTCCAACCATTAACCTAACATTATCAAATCCACACTAAACCAATTAAGGGTAGACTAAACCATGTCCCAAAGTGCCACGTCTGCCCGTTTTTTGAAACGCTTCCAGGGATGGGGACTCCACCACCTCTCTGGGCAGAAGCGAGCGGGCATAAGCAAGAGGAATGGAATTGCTTAATAGCAGGCTCTCCAATATTAGATCAAGCCAGTATCAGCCACATTAAAAACAATCACTTAAGTAGCAGAAGAAACTGCAGGATAGCCCCATATTGCCAGTTGGTTTCTACATATCTGTTGAGAAAGCAGGTATGTGAAGTGATTTATGTCTTTGCTTTTGCCCAATAAAAGAATTTCGTAGCAAGTATGTGACTGTCAGTGCATTTACAGAATAATGTTCATTTGTGAAAGGAACCAGTGAAACCTAACAGTACCCCTATATTCCACTGTGACTTCTAAATATGTCTATTCAGATTACAAAGCCTCGGAGTCAAATTAACTTCAACTAAGACAACACTAAAAATAAACAAAACCCTAAGCCAATAACCTCAGATTTGCCAGTTTGTAGAGTCAGTTGCTGATACTCAGAAATACAACCTTCAGTGCACTCATAATACTGCAAGGATACGGAATTGCAGACAAGCCTGACCATGATTTAAGTGCACATTTAAATATATTTTATTTAAGCATCATATAACAGAATGAAGAATTGGAATACAAGCAGCAAGTCAAACATTCAAGATACATGCAATAAGGCAGAAAAATGATCAAAAACATCTTCTTAATGCTGGACTATGTAAAGGCACCACCTTGAACAGCATAATCCAGAAGAAATTTATATAAGGTCCTTTCCAACCTTAGTGATTCCTAGTTTGTACTTTCATTAAAAATAATCAAGCCACCAAGCCAGGAAACATGAAATTGCTACTCTCCCCTTAATTGGTTTAGTGGTGGACTTGGTAGTGTTTGGTTAATGGTTGGACTGGATGATCTTAAAGGGCTTTTCCAACCTGAACAATTCTATGATTCTATGATTCTAAATAAGGCTTCTGAAAGACAAGTTTCCATAAGGCATGTCTCACAAGGAAAATTGGTTAAGGGGAACTGCCAAATCATTCTTTAAACAGATTGGGAGACTACTTCTTGTATTTTGATTTTTTGAGATGACAAAGGCTTCTTTTCTTCTTTTTTACCCCAAGCAAATTGTTTCAGAATGACAGCAGCTAAATTTCCATTATTTAGGCAACAAGGGTGCAGTATAACCTTGATAAAAGAAACAATGGTAACACAGATAGCGTGACAGATGGTGAAGAAAGATATGAAAGCACACCAACGCCATTATCAGTCCAAATCCAGTGCTTATTAAAATCAGCTCAATACTAGACTCAGAGTGAAAGCTGGCTCCCTCAGATGCACTGCATGTCACAGGACTACACTCCCTGGATCTCTGGTGCCAGAGGTCATCAATTTAGGTGCAGCACAGGATGACTCCACAGTTCTCTGCAAGCCACAGATGAGCAGTAAAGCCGAATATAAAAAGCAGACACAAGGTGACTCAGTGCTGAGCTGTTACGACCATCAACTTATCTGAACTAAAATGCTGAACTATGCCAAAAGCAGTGCAGCTGTGTTAACAAGGTATGGTAGCTGACTTGCCAAGTCCCTGGAGATGTACCGGGCTTTCCAAAGAATAAGTTCTGATGTCTATGCTGTGGTGCCCCATGGGTCTGTGGTGCCCCATGAGTGATGGGGCAGATTTCTCAATCAGCTGCATGCAAGTTAAATATTCTCTATCCTTGTTCATTTCTCCAAGTTTGTACATTCCCTCTGCTTTGTACACATCCCCATCCACCTCCCTTAGGCCTCTTTAGATATTCCCCAGATACTCCTTACACCTCCACACTTTCCCTTAGACATTGTTCCACTAGGCAAACTGCATAGGTACGCTGCAATAGGCATTCGTGGAGTCCATACACTAGGCATCAGCCAAACTGAGTGTGCAAGCCAGCAGTAAAATATGCCTGCTGGTGGGTAGCCAGGAAAGGGAGCTACCCCACCAACAACTGCAAACAGGGATCTGGGGAAAGCAAGACCACCACAGCCTAATCACTGATGTAGAGAGCAAGTCTTATGAGGAGCAGCTGAGGGAACTGGGGTTGTTTAGCCTGAGGAAGAGGAGGCTGAGGCTTGACCTTATCACTCTCCACAACTACCTGAAAGGAGGTTGTAGTGAGGTGGCTGTTGGGCTCTTCTCCCAAGGAACAAGCGATAGGACAAGAGGAAATGGCCTCAAGCTGCGTCAGGGGAGGTTTAGATTGGATATTAGGAAAAATTTCTTCATGGATTGAAAGAGTGGTCAAGCATTGGAACAGGCTGCCCAGAGAGGTGGGGGAGTCCCCATCCCTGAAGTGTTCAAAAAACAGGCAGAGGTGGCACTTTGGGCCATGGTTTAGTGGGCACGGGGGTGTTGGGTTGATGGTTGGACTGATGATCTTAGAGGTCCTTTCCAACCTTAATGATTCCTAATTTTTACTTTCATTAATAAATAATCCAGCCACCAAGCCAGGAAACATGAAATTATTACTCTCCCCTTAACTGGTTTATTGGTGGACTTGGTAGTGTTAGGTTAATGGTTGGACTGCATGATCTTAAAGGTCTTTTCCAACCTGAACAATTCTATGATTCTATGTATTAAAAAGACCAATCCAAGAGCAAAGAAAATGAACAGCACAGATGAAGCTTTGTTGATTTTAATGCAATAGTGGATTTTTGATTCAGGCAAGATACTGTGCAAATCTGCGATATTCATTCTCTGAGGCAAATCATAGATTTTCATCTGAAACTGCAAATTCTAATTCATAAACACTCCCCTCCCTTTTTTTTTTTTTAAACTCAAAATCTGGTCACATACCAAGTGCTGACACAGATTCCACCCAGGAGGAACTGTGTATCTACCAACCTCTTCTTAGAGAGCTCTTTGCTCCCCAGAGAACACATGGTTAACTTCCAGGAATCTGTGGTCAGCAGCTATGGAGCACAGCACATGTTTGTACCTGTTGGTCATCTAGTTGAATGTGGCAAGGAAACCCTTTGATTAATCTGAATTAAGCTTGCAGTTGCCCGTGCTGATTACAGTGAGTTCTTGAAAGAGGGTTGCACTGGTACTTTTAAATCAATGACAAACTCATTTTGCCTTAGAGCCTACAATTTTTATTTAAAAGCAAGTATTTTGCCACAGCATTGCCATTACCTTTTCCTCTCCAGCCAAGTCACTTTCCTCCTCTGCATCTTCACTGCTCTTCTCATTGCGCTCCAACGCGTCCAAGAGCCCAATACATTGTCTTCTAGGTGAGACAAGCTCTTGCTCATATTCCATGCATAGGTTGGATGCTCCATCTCCATTTACTGGCATCACAGCATAATACAGATGACAAATTAACATTCTGCATTATCTCTTGCATTTTCTTTGACTTAGTAATACCTCAAAATCTTATGTAGCATTCCACAAAGATATATTGGTTTATTAATCTTCCTCATCTTGCAAAATTGCATTAGGTGACTCAGTAAGAAGACTGCTTTGGTTAATCACGCCCAAAATTGCTCAAGCATTTGTTACCACAACCTGGTGGACTTCTCAAACTTTTCCTTAAGTGATGGTCATATTTAACCTCAAAATGTCTTAGGATCAACGGGGAAAAAAAAAAAAAAGTCTTACTGCAACAGTTGTCTGTGTTTAACTACTTCAGCTTTATGGATTTCCCAAAACTCGAGTTCCTGTTTTTAAGAGATTCTGGCATGAAATATAATTTATTATTTTTAAACAGAACAAGTTTTTTTAAAGCCTACAATTCTCACAGTATCAATACCTATAAGACACAGTCACCCTCAGGTCCCAACAATACATGTTCTCACTAATCAGGATCCAGGTATCTTTGGTTTTAAATACAAGAATTTAGAGCTGTAGGTAGTGTTAAATTAGTATCAGTTTGCTACTTCTAAAAGGCATTCTCTTCAAAATAGGCATTCTCTTCAAAATTTCCACTATTTTGTGAAATTACTTCAACAGTCAGTTACTAAGAAAACTATTTTGAGAAGAATGGAAGTATATAAGCTATAAATTAAAAAGTCAGTGCAAGAAACTCCTTAGCCAAAACTATGATTACAGGTGCAGTTTGATGGTACAGCTAATGCAACGCAACTGAAAATCTATTGCAAAAGAGGCAATGCAGCTTCTGCCCTTTACCTCCAGTCACACATTCCAGCCCATCCTGAGATGGATCTAACAGTCACGTGGATGAAAGGTAAATTGGTTCAGCAAGCTCATCTGCTTGCTCTGCAGTTGCACAATATATGGATTCAACTCAAGGGAAGGAGCATAAATGCATGGTTGGAAATCAAGGGAGGGAAAAAAAAGCAGTGGCCAAAGTAACCCCTTTCAACAACAACCTGCAGTCACACTGGCTTAGACATAATGTGAAATCGCCCTCACACTCAGTCATAACTGTTTTGGAACCACAGTTTTAAACACAGCCAAATTTTTCTGTTCCAAACCAGCAAGCAATCTAGAGTAGAACATTCTGAAAGAATATCTGATGCGAGAAATACTTTACTGTTTGGCATTAACTAACCATAAATTTTAAAATACTGTCGTCTTCCAATGTCAATGCCCTCTTTCTGTTTTCTTAATCAGATTACTGCGTAAGAGCCATTTATATAACAGGATGGAAGAAGGACATCAGAAAGTCAGTGTTAGTCAGAAACAGACTTCCAGTTCTTTTTTTTTTTTTAAACTATTTATTCCACCAAACTCCTCCTGTTCTGCAGGACACCTTTTCAGGCCCCATCTGCCTCTTTGCTCTGTAGTGGCAACCGATCCCCCCATTGTCTAAGCTCAGGACTTTTACATCAGTCTTTGCGCTCACCTTGCTTTCTCTCCCATTCCAGTTTCTAGTCTCTTGCTCCTCCTTTTTTGGTTCAGCTTAAAATAAAAAAGTGTATCTGTGAGGACCCAAGCCTACCTTTTCTTTTCCTCTTCAAACTAGGAACATGGTCATCCAAGTTTTTGGCCTTTTTCAGGGAGAGGATCTGCTCGGATGAAGTAGATGGTGCTGTATCACTTTCATTTAGGGAACCAGCAGAGCCAGAACGGCATTGTGGCAGGGGTGGGGGCATCTGCAAGCAGTTTACAAAACATCACAGTAAGCAAAAGCTACTCTTCCATTCCACTTCCTTTGCAACCAAAAATTCCAGCAACAACCTGAACACATATCCTTTTCCCCAAATAACCCTTGACAGCAAGATTATTAAGAATTCTGGACTTATGTGCTTTTGAAAAAAGGATCACTTAATATAGATGAAGTGTAGCAAGCAGTTTTAGCCCTAAGTGGCCCATGTAACAGAAAAAGGGGCATGACCCTGCTAAAGAACAATTGCTTCCTAACACTATCCCTGCAACATAGCTCCTTCTGGCAAAGCACATTGGGTTGTGGTTCTTATTTACCACGACACTCCCATTTATGATCAGAAAAGGTCATAGAGTCATCCAGTATCATCCATCTGTAACTTATTATTTTGAACAACTTGTATTTGGCTAAAGCATCTTCCAGGAAGTCATCCAAGTCTGCGTGAAATTTTAAGTATTTATTTTAATCTCAATATCCATTTTTGGGTTAAAGAATTCCCCATTCTGGCTTCTAGCCCATTTCTTGCTATGACTTTCTCCAGTCAATTAGAAAGCGTTTCTATAATATTACTTTTTCAGTCAAGGAACTATTACTGAGAAAAAGAGCTGCTTAATGCTAAGAGAGAAGCCATATTAGTAAAGATGACCCAGTGATGAACTGTAAAAATAACCGATGGGTTTGTCTCACTCTTTATACCAGTCAGCTTAGATTTAAATTTAAGGGTTTGATTGATTCTTCCACACGTATATCCTCTCCCTGAGGGCGAGGTAGAAAGCTTTTTGATGCCAACATCAGTTCCAGTATTTGCATGCCATCCAATGAAAGCTGTGCTTTTTTAGGAGGGACTGGAAGTTTCTTCTGTGATCTAACCTAATGAGTTGCACAGCACAACACCACAACATCCTGTCCCAGCTCACTCATGGAGAAACACGAGGCATATCTCCTTTCCTGTAAAGCTTCGATGTCTAGAAGTGACAAGTGACTCAATCACATCTCTCACCTGGATTAGCATTCCCAGTTTCCAACACTATCAAGAAAATTTGTTGGCTTTTTTAGACACTTACAATTTCTTGAGCAACGCGGAAGAAGAGGGAGACGCTTCTGACTGCGTGCCCAAAGTTGTCATAAACATTCACGTAAGGGCGGACCCACGAAGGCAGCTTGCCTTTTACATCACCAGTTGTAAACCTGTGTAGCATTGGAAAAGGAGAGAATGATTTGCCAGGTTGGCCTACATGAATTAAACAAATGCTAGATCAGGGTCCAAAAGGACAAGCGAGGAGCAGCAAGACAACAAAAGATTGAAACAGTGCAATAAATATAACGGGGTGATGTCTTCACTCAGGAGAAAAGGGCTTTGCTGATACCATGTGCCATGCAATCAGCCAATTCTTATCTTTCATCCATAAAATCTTTAACTGTGCACCAGTAACAGTAATACTGAACTGTGATGTGCTCACTGTCCCCAGTCAAGCCTCAGCATTGAAGGCCAATTGTTGCCTATTATATACACATATTAATTAATATTATATTATATTAATGGATATTAATATAAT